ACAAATACAGCAGTTAACTCTTTTGACAGAACACTGGGGGTGGTGGCAGTGGTGGAGGTGGTGGGTGTGGTGAGGGCGGTGAGGGCGGTGTGGGCGGTGGGGGCAGTGGGGGCGGTATACAAATACAGCGGTTAGCTCCCCTGGCAGAACACTGAGGGTGGTGGCAGTGGTGGATGTGGTGGGGGTGGTGAGGGCGGTGAGGGCGGTGTGGGCGGTGGGAACGGTGTGGGCGGTGGGGGCGCAGGGGGCGTCCGGGCACACATTGGCAGCCTGTAAATACTTTAAACACCTATACAAATACAGCGTTAATTCTTTTGACAGAACACTGGGGGTGGTGGCAGTGGTGGAGGTGGTGGGGGTGGTGAGGGCGGTGAGGGCGGTGTGGGCGGTGGGGGCGGTGGGGGCGGTGGGGGCGGTGCGGGCGCAGGGTCCGGGCACACATTGGCAGCCTTTACATACTCTTCAAACACCTATACAAATACAGCGGTTAACTCCCCTGACAGAACACTGGGGGTGGTGGCAGTGGTGGAGGTGGTGGGGGTGGTGAGGGCGGTGTGGGCGGTGGGGGCGGTGGGGGCGGTGTGGGCGCGGGGGGTCCGGCACACATTGGCAGCCTTTAAATACTCTTTCGGGGTGGTGGAAGTGGTGGGGGTGGTGAGGGCGGTGTGGGCGGTGTGGGCAATGGGGGCGGTGGGGGTGGTGGTGGGGGCGGTGGAGGTGTGGGGGGGTCCGGGCACACATTGGCAGCCTTTAAATACTCACCAAACACCTATACAAATACAGCGGTAACTCCCCTGACAGAACACTGGGGGTGGTGGCAATGGTGGAGGTGGTGGGGGTGGTGAGGGCGGTGAGGGTGGTGTGGGCGGTGGGGCTGGTGGGGGCGGTGTTTTTTTCTCTGTAAACACCTATACAAGTACAGCGGTTAACTCTTTTGACAGAACACTGGGGTTGGTGGCAGTGGTGGAGGTGGTGGGGGTGGTGAGGGCGGTGAGGGCGGTGTGGGCGGTGGGGGCAGTGGGGGCGGTGTGGGCGGTGGGGGCGCGGGGTCCAAGCACACATTGGCAGCCTTTAAATACTTTTTAAACACCTATACAAATACAGCGGTTAACTCCCCTGACAGAACACTGGGGGTGGTGGCAGTGGTGGAGGCGGTGGGGATGGTGAGGGCGGTGTGGGCGGTGGGGGCGGTGGGGGCGGTGGGGGCGGTGTGGGCGCGGGGGGGTCCGGGCACACATTGGCAGCCTTTAAATACTCTTTAAACACCTATACAAATACAGCGGTTAACTCCCCTGACACAACACTGGGGGTGGTGGCAGTGGTGGAGGTGGTGGGGGTGGTGAGGGCGGTGAGAGCGGTATGGGCGGTGGGGGCGGTGGGGGGGGCGGTGGTGGCGCGGGGGGGTCCGGGCACACATTGGCAGCCTTTAAATACTCTTTAAACACCTATACAAATACAGCGGTTAACTCCCCTGACAGAACACTGGGGGTGGTGGCAGTGGTGGATGTGGTGGGGGTGGTGAGGGCGGTGAGGGCAGTGTGGGCGGTGGGGGCGGCGTGGGCGGTGGGGGCGCGGGGGGTCCGGGCACACATTGGCAGCCTTTAAATACTCTTTAAACACCCATACAAATACAGCGGTTAACTTTCTTTTGACAGAACACTGGGGGTGGTGGAGGTGGTGAGGGTGGTGAGGGCGGTGAGGGCGGTGTGGGCGGTGGGGGCGGTGGGGGCGGTGTGGGCGGTGGGGGCGCGGGGTCCGGGCACACATTGGCAGTTTAAACACCTATACAAATACAGCGGTTAACTCCCCTGACAGAACACTGGGGGTGGTGGCAGTGGTGGAGGTGGTGGGGGTGGTGAGCGCGGTGAGGGCGGTGAGGGCGGGGTGGGCGGTGGGGGCGGGGGGGGCGGGGGGGGCGGCGGGGGGGCCGGGGGGGGGGGTCCGGGCACACATTGGCAGCCTTCAAATACTTTTCAACACCTATACAAATACAGCGGTTAACTCCCCTGACAGAACACTGGGGGTGGTGGCAGTGGTGGAGGTGGTCAGGGTGGTGAGGGCGGTGGGGCGGTGGGGGGCGGTGTGGGCGGGGGGGGGGGGGGGTCCGGGTACACATTGGCAGCCTTTAAATACTCTTTACACACCTATACAAATACAGCGGTTAACTCTCCTGACAGAACACTGGGGGTGGTGGCAGTGGTGGTGAGGGCGGTGTGAGCGGTGGGGGCGGTGGGGGTCCGGGCACACATTGGCAGCCTTTAAATACTCTTTAAACACCTATACAAATACAGCAGTTAACTCTTTTGACAGAACACTGGGGGTGGTGGCAGTGGTGGAGGTGGTCAGGGTGGTGAGGGCGGTGAGGGCGGTGTGGGCGGTGGGGGCGGTGGGGGCGGTGTGGGCGGTGGGGGCGCGGGGTCTGGGCACACATTGGCAGCCTTTAAATACTTAAACACCTATACAAATACAGCGGTTAACTCCCCTGACAGAACACTGGGGGTGGTGGCAGTGGTGGAGGTGCTGGGGGTGGTCAGGGCGGTGAGGGCGGTGTGGGCGGTGGGGGCGGTGTGAGCGCGGGGGGGTCCGGGCACACATTGGCAGCCTTTAAATACTCTTTAAACACCTATACAAATACAGCGGTTAACTCCCCTGACGAGGGCGGTGAGGGCGGTGTGGGCGGTGGGGGTGGTGCGGGGGCGGTGGGGGTGCGGGGGGGTCCGGGCACACATTGGCAGCCTTTAAATACTCTTTAAACACCTATACAAATACAGCGGTTAACTCCCCTGACAGAACACTGGGGGTGGTGGCAGTGGTGGAGGTGGTGGGGGTGGTGAGGGCGGTGAGGGCGGTGTGGGCGGGGGGCGGTCTGGGTGCGGGAGGATCAAGCGGTGAGGGTGGTGGTACAAAGGCAGGTGAGGGCAGTGAGGGTGGTGGGGGTGGTGAGGGCGGTGAGGGCGGTGGGGGCGGTGGGGGCTCGGGGGGGTCCGGGCACACATTGGCAGTCTTTAAATACTCTTTAAACACCTACAAATATAGCGGTGAAAGACTCAGCGGTGGAGGCGGTGGAAGCGGTGTTGGTGCGGACACCTCTCGGGATATCACGGGCGCCGCCCGCAGGGGTCGGCGGATAAGTCTACCTACTACCTACTTACTAAGTCCCCCGACCCTCCCAGAGACTGAAACCCTACTTGGAGGTTCAGGGGTACTTAGTAGGGTCCCTTTCAAGGGATCTATAGGGATTACTTGGAGCTTCATGGGTACTTATAAGTATAGGGTTATAACTAGGGTAGCTATACATATAACCCATATGAACTCTACCATATTCAGGGTTTGGGGGTGAGAGTCGCCGGGGGACCAAACCTGCGACAGGAACCCGAAACGGAAAGGAAATCGAATGCAGAACCAGGTAGGGTTTCTGGTTTAGGGTTTAGGGTTTCGGGTTTAGGGTTTATGGCCCCAAGACAAAACAGTTGACCGTAACCCCAAACCCTAAACCCTAAACCCCAAACCCCAAAACCCTATGAGCGGCAGGCTACTAAGACGTGGAAGCCGAGGCGCCGGACTCTCAGAGGGCTGACGCCATCCGCGGGCAGAGGCATAAGAACTAGGATAGGGGCCTAAATAAGTTCCTACACTATTTTGGTGGTTCCTTATAAAATTTACAGTTATGGTACAAAATACCTTCTAATTATTAAGGCCCCTATGATAGGGTTGATAAGGAGTTTGGGGGCGTAGGGTTTAGAGGTTTGAGGGTTTGGGTCTTGCGACTTCAAGCGCTTCGAGTGTTGGGGTTGGGCGTTTCGGCATGGTGTCGAACGCCACGAAGGGAGCAGAAGAGATGTGACTACGGAGCTTGCGGCCATCGACATTGCCACCATCATCATCATCATCATCATCATCATCACCATCATCATCACCAGCATCAACATCACCACCACCATCATCATCATCATCACCATCAACATCACCATCGACATCACCATCTTCACCATCACCCTCGTAGTCACCAACATCGATATCGTGAATATCCTCATCCTCATTGTGGCTTTCATGACCTCGTTCGCCTCCTCCTCCTCCTCCTCCTCCTCCTCCTCCTCATGCCTTTTGTTTATGCTCATGATAATCATTATCGTCCTCATCCTCATCATGTCCATTGAGCATGAACCTCATCGTCATCATCATTATCCGATCTTTCGTGTCATCACCACTCATTATCATCCTCTTCATCGTTTATCTCATCACCCATGCAAACGTCGCGGCCATGAGCACCCTCATCATCGCACTCTTTTTTCCTAGTCTTCGTCTTTGAAACCTTTTGAATGCCAGCTGTCATCATCGCCACTGTTTCCTTTATTTCCGTGACTCTCTTCGCCATCGTCTGCATCATTTCATTCAACCGTTAATGACGTTAATGATGATAAAATAAAGGAAACGGTGGCGAAGATGACAGCTGGCATTCAGTCGCGATCATGTTATTCATCACAACCATCATCAGCATCATCACTATCATCTCCTTCATCAGCGCCACCATCACGACCACCACCATCATCAGCATCATCATCATCATCGTCATGATGATCATTAGTATTATCATCAGTACCATCCATATCGTTATCAGCGGCGGTACCACCGTCATAGCCATCATCAAGACCGGCATTGAAACAATCATCGACTCCATTGTCGGCACCATCATCGCCATCGTCACCAGCATCACTATGGGCATCTCGCCATCATCATCGGCGTACAGTGCTAGGCTTACCAGGTTGGTTAGAGGCACAGCAATGAAGCAATAGCTATCATAGTTTTCATTGCTGCCACGGGCTGCGAGACTCGCCGCAAACCATACATAGTAACGAGCTGTGGTGCGAGTCAGAACAGGAGGTTAGGGTTTAGGATTACTAGGTAGTACAGGAACACATCCTTCGGGACTTCAGATTCGTGGTTCGAGGGTCTAGGAGTGTTGATGCCACTTCAGGCTGGTGGCTATAGCTGTGCCAGCTATGTCGGATGACGCAGGCATGTCTGCACCCTGCACAGTTGTGCTACATGCTGGTGGCATTTTGCCAGAATTGAGCACGGAGGACACTGGAGACGAGCCGGTTCCAAAGGAACGTGATCCAGTGGAGCCTCAGGAGGCACCGCAGCCGGCGGAAGGAGACATGATACTTAGTAGCTGAGTGGGCGCACTTTCCACTTTTTTGGATAGTATTCTCCTTATTGAAAACTAAAGGTGCGCACTTTTTTGGGCGGTTGAACTCAGCAAGTAAGGATGGATTACCAGGATTACCAAGAGCATGTAGCAGGACACTTCAGCACAATGACGTTGACTTCGCCGACCATCCAAAGGGTGACATCCAGCCATCGCGTCTTAAGCTGCTTCGGGCGAGCGCTGCGACAAAAGACAGTCACAGACATGTACCATTGCAGCAGAGCGGCCAAGAAGATTTCGCAGTTTGTTTCACACAGTTGGCATGGCTCGTCATGGAAGAAGATCGCCACAGTCTTCGTGCTCAAAAATGGTCCTGCAGCGCTGGCTTCTGGAAGCTTGTGTGCATTGGTCATGATTGTCTTCAGCAGCTTCCAGATCTTGCCTGGCTATGATCGGCAACCCATGATCGAGCTGGAACGAACCTACGTCTTCGGACCCTGGGGGCTTTGCATTGGGATGCTAGCTGCATTTCTCGGCTTGACTTTCTGTCAACGTCGTGACGAGGTTTTCCTGGATGTCCTATGCATCCATCAGACTGATCGGCGCCTTAAGTTTGAAGGCCTCCTGAACATATGTGCCTTCTTGAGGAATTCCGACTCCATGTTGGTGTTGTGGGACCCCACCTATGTTGAGAGGCGGGGTCTTTCCGACACCGAACCCTGAACCGACCCAAACCTTAAATCCTGACGTTCCAGCTTCTCCAATCCAGCTTGCGATCACACTGCAGCAACAACGACAAAGCTTAAGCGCTCACAGATCGTGAGAGCCTCAGGACTAAACATATAATAGGCATTTTCAGAAAGAGCAGGCATCATAGCAATGACACTACTGCGTGAGGAAGGTCAATTTAGGGAGTGAGACGCTCAAGGGCAACGTTGAATGCCGGCAGCAACCATGACAGCAGCAACAGCGTGCTTGGGTGTAAGTGTGCGTACCTTCAAAACCGTTTCTCCGACTGGAGGCTTTGGTGCGTCTTCGAATTGGCTGCCTTCCTGAAAAGCCGCGAGAGCGGGACAGCGACGAAGCTCTTTATTAGGCCTTCATAGGAGGCTAAAAGGGGGTTTGGCCTATGGGGGTTTAGTAGGGATTAGGGTTCCCATAATAGGGTTCCCATAACAGGGGTTAGATGGAATCCCTACCCCAAGAATCTTAAATCCACCCTTTTTGGCCTCCCATCAGGCCTACCATCCTTGGGCCCAGCTCCATAGCATCCTGCTTCGGCCTCTTTGCGTTGCAGCTGGCTCAGACCGCCGTTCCATGGGCGACTGGGTTGTCCTTTGGGATCTTTCCAGTTTCCTTTACTATTTTGTAGAGAACCATAATAGTAAATAATTTTCAAAGGGCTTAGAGGACAACTCAGGCGAACGCCTTTCATGGAACCCTGGTCTTCTCGGCACTGGCCTGGACTGGGTGTTACGCGGTTGCTTGTGTCTGGCGGAGCCACTACAGGCAGATTGACGCCATGAAGACCCAACTTCAGAGTTTCACCATTAGCAAGACGAAATCGGACTGTTGCCAGATAGGCCATGTGGATCGACAGGGCCGAAAGCTTCCTTGCGACAAGGCAGTGATCCTTGAATGCATCCGACAGTGGTTCGGCTCTGTTGATGCATTCGAGGATGATGTCAGGTCTGGCGTGGCAGCTGCATTGTCGGAAGGATTGGGGAAGGGAGGGTTTCCTTATCCTTACGTGCTTGCTGCCGGAGCACCGATCTTGTGGTGTCAGGGTGACTTCGCGGCCTCCCGGCTGCGGGAGGGCGAGTTCTACTATGCTGCTTAGGGGTACTTAGAAATAATTTTTAAGTTTTGGTTATAATAACCCCTAAGAAACAGCTAAAATTAGAATTTTGCTAGGGTTCTAAGTTCAGTATAGGCTGGTGTCACCGTCGTCATTGGCCTCGCATACTGGCTCGCTGCAGTTCCCTTCATCTTCGCCTGCGGTGGTCTTATCGTCCACAAGTTCCGCCGCAGGTGCACGGCCCCGAGCTCTGGGCTTGTTCCTCAAGTGAGGAATATACCTTAAGTTATAGCAGGATCCCTTCGTGTGAATTTCAAGTATAATTCCTCAAACCACCAGCTCCCGAAGCCTCCTCAGAAAGCTAAACCCTAAACCCTAAACCCTAATTTGAAACCCCAGACTCTTAACCGCACGCCCCGGACCCTGAGGCCGGCCCTAAACCCTACACACACTATAAAGAACCTGAAACCCCAAACCCAAAGCAAAAAAAAAAAGGAACCCAAAGCCCGAAACCCTCAGATGCTAATTTTGTTTCAGCCCTTTTCGTCTGAAGGTACAGCCCTTGTCTTGATGCGCTGGTGCCCCTCCTCGTTTCGGCGTTCCTAAATCTGGTGCCAGGCACGGGCATGTTCTGGTTACTGAGCCTCGGCAATATGACAGCGCGGTTTAGGGGTTCAGGGTCTAGGTTTAGGGTTTCGGGGAATAGCCTCTGTTTTCATGGTTCACATACCGAGACAAGCAGGTGCCACAGGGCTTCAGAAGATCATAAGTAAATGCCTGACCTAACACCCTAAACCGCAATACCCCAAGCCTCACAAGTTGAAATGATGCATCATAACACATCGGCTGAGCACCCCGGAAAAGTTTGTCCGGCTGATTCCAGGATAGGCCTACAAGCGATGCTAGATGATATGCTGGCCGCAGTGCTTTGGGCCATTATTATGTCTTCTGCCGCTCTGCTTGCTTGGCGTCTGCGCTCATCTTACGTGGAGCGTCTTGGGCTTTAGACCCAGGTCTTGGATCTGAGGCTTAGAGCGTTTTCGCGATGGGAGCTCGAAGAGCCCCGTGCCCTAACTCGCAGCTTCTGCTGCCCCGGCTCTTTTTCCCCGACCCTGCCACAGGATGAACCGATGGCCAGGTACTGTCGTTCCGTCATAGAAGAGCCCTGACATGCAAGACAGCTCTCTCACGGCTTTCAAGAGTTTTCCATGGAAGTCGTGAACCCTAAACCCTCAACCATACACCCGAGATCCCGAAATCCTGAGCCCTTGAGACCATTCCTAGACACGAGTCGATCCAAAGAAGAAAGTCCGTGAGAGAGCCTTTTCGTCCAACTACGCGCGTAGCCTGGGCCCCAGCTAAAGACGTATACCCGCATACCCTCAGCCCAAATCCCAACACCAAAGCCCTGAACCCTGAATCCTATCCCCGACAGTTGAAAACAAACCTGCCCAAGACCCTCAGCTCTAAACCCAAAACTCTAAAGCTTACTACGCCCGACGTCCAGGATGCGTTTTTTCAGAAATTGAGGACGACACGCTCACGACTCAACAAAAGCCGCCAGAAAGACGTACCCTGGGCTCATGTAGCTTGAAGAACTTGGAACCCTAAACCCTAAACCCTACACCCTAAATCCCAAGCCCTACACTCTAAACCCTAAACCCGAAACCATTGGGACTTGGATGTGGGCGCTTCGGGACCCTGTGGCCGCGTCATCCCCTGGAGGCTTAGAAAGGGGGTCTTAGAAGCTGAGCGGATACTCTTTGCACTTTTTGGGAGAATACTACCCTAAACCCTAAACCCTAAACCCTAAACCCTAAACCCTAAACCCTGAACCCTAAAACTGAAAGTGTACACTCCTTGGGGCTTATGAGCTCAGCAACTAAGGAGCAGAAAATCAGGGGCCCTAATATCAATTTGAGCAAGTGCAGTGGGATCAGAAACCTCCATATTCTGATTTAAAGTCCGAAAGCACGAAGTGCCGAGAATCCGAAGCAGAAACCTAAAGTACGCTGAGCCTGATCCTCGCAGTGTTGCTTTGCTGACCGTCGTCAGCTGCAAGCATCTTGGTGGCATGGCAGCAGTGACAACAACTGTTGGTTACCTCATTTCTCGGATGAATCCTGTGCAGCTATCGTAGAATCTGCCCCAAAACCCTATGCGCTTGTTCAGACCCGTTGTTGCAAGCTGGCCGGCCTAGTCACGCCTGTGAGCTGTGGCCATGTGCGATGACAAAGCTGCAGAGCCGCATGCGGTGGCGCTCCATGTGGAAGATGCTGGGCTCTTCGTAAGTTAGGTTCCTGAGTAGCACCTTTTGGCCCTTTTTGTTTTGGGGTCTCCGGATTAAAATATAATTAAGGGTAGGAAAAAGGCTACCCTCATTACAAAGGGGCTAGTCAGGAACCTCGCAAGGATGTTGGTTTAAGTTCCAACAATAGGGTTTATGGTAAATAATGGGGCTTCTCCTTATTATTCTTAGGGTCTAGGGCTTAGGGTTTAGGGGTCAACTTAAACTAAGTTCCATGACAAGAGCTGAGGATGCGACTCCGGAGGTAGAAGTCTCCGAGCCTGTCCCTGGCGAGCGTGATCCGATCGAGTCGCTATCACAGCCGGATGTGACTGAGGCTCAGAGGCTCCAATATCCCTTAATCAAGGAAAACACCTTAAATCATACTAAGGATCCTACTATAATTTAAGGTATATTCCTTAATTAAGGGATATTGGAGAACTCATATGGGAGTTTCCGAAAATTAGAGGTACCTTATTTGGGGGTCCTTATTATAAGGCTCCTATACTATTTAAAGTACTACATTAGGGTCCCCTATTTTCGGAAACTCCCATGTGACTGAGGCTCAGAGGCGGCTCCGGGAGCTCATGGGCACGATGAGTTTGACTTCACGAGAGATTCAAAGGGTGACACCCAGCTATCGCGTTTTGAGCTGCTTCGGGCGAGCCTTGCGAAGCAAGATCTTCCAGGAACGTTACCACTTCAGCAAGCCCGCTGAAAGGATACCGCAGTTTGTTTCGCACAGCTGGCATGGTTCCGCATGGAACAAGATCTTCATGCTGTTCGTGCTGAAAAACGGTCTTCCTGCCATAGCAGCGGGAAGCGTCTTTGCGTTCATCATGGTAATTTTGAGCAGCTTCAACATGTTGCCTGGCTATGACCGCCAACCGCTGATCGAGCCGGATAGAACCTATGTTTTCGGGCCATGGGGTATTTGCTTTGGTATGGTGACTGCCTTTTTCGTTCTCATTTTCTACCGACCTCGCGACCGGGTCTTTGTGGACAAGATCTGCATCCACCAGACTGACCCGCGCTTGAAGTTCGAAGGTGTCCTGAACATCTGTGCCTTCCTGAAGAATTCGGACTCCATGCTGGTGTTGTGGGATGCCACCTATGTTGAGAGGACGGGTCGTTTTCAGCAGCACGAACCCCTGTTGAACTTTGAACTCGTAGTGCCTTTCGACTACCAGCAGCGGCAGCGGCGGCAGCAGCAGGGGCAGCAGCGGCAGCAGCAGCGGCAGCGGCAGCGGAGCAGCGGCAGCAGCTGCGCCAGCTTTGGAAGAACCGGCAGCACCAGCAGCACCGCAGCAGCAGCAGCACCAGCACTGCCAGCACCACGACTACCACGAGCACCACGAGACCACCAGCACCACCAGCACCACCAGCACCACCAGCACCACCAGCATCACCAGCACCACCAGCATCTACTGCTACTGCTACTGCTACTGCTACTGCTACTGCTACTGCTACTCCTACTCCAACTCCTACTACTACTACTACTACTACTACTACTGCTACTACTACTGCTACTTACTTACTTACTTACTTGCTTGCTTGCTTGCTTGCTTACTTACTCACTTGCTTACTTACTTACTTACTTACTTACTTACTTACTACTACTGAGCTACTACTTCTTAGCTTGACATCTCAAAGCGAACATAGCGAACATAGCTGTGAGCAGACAGGCTTTGGTGCGTCTTCGAATTGGCCGCCTTCCTGAAGAGCCGCGAGAGCGGCACAGCGACGAAGCTCTTTATTAGGCCAAAAGGGGTTTAGGGTTTAGGGTTTAGGCCTTCCATTCTACACAAAACAGAGCCCAAAATCGAAAGCCTTCAGTCTAAACACCAAATCCTACATCCAAAACCCCTAACCCGCCTTCAAAAACCTCTGCAATCCTACCCATAATAGGGTTTGTATTAAGGAATCCCTACCCCAAGAATCTTAGACCCCGCTTTTGGCCTCCCATCAGGCCTTCCATCCTCGGCCCTAGTTCAATAGCATCCTGCCTGGGCCTCTTTGCCATGCAGCTTTCCCAGACCGCGGTTCCATGGGCGAACCGCTTCCATGGGTTCTTTATCTGGGCATGCGTCTGTTGGGTTGGCCTGTTTTCCGCTGTTTACGTTTGGCGGAGCTATTACAGGCAGATTGACAACATGAAGAGCCAACTTCAAAATTTCAGCATTAGCAACACAAAAGCGAACTGTTGTGAGAGGGGTCACGTGGATCGACAGGGTCGAAGGATGCACTGTGACAAGGACACAATCACTGAATGCGTCCGGCAGTGGTTTGGCTCCGTCGAGGAGTTTGAAAAACATGTCAGGTCTCATGTGGCGACTGCACTGACGCAAGGCTTGGGGAACTTGGTATTTCCATATCCCTATCTGCTTGCTGCCGGAGCACCCTCCTTGTGGGGACAAGCCGATTTCATTGCCTCCCGGCTGCGGGAGGGCGAGTTCTACTTTGCCGGGGTTACAGCCATCTTCGGTCTTGCATACTGGCTGGCCGCAATCCCATACATCTTCGCTTCAGGAGCACTCATCAACTACAAGTTCCGCCACAGGTGCCACGTGCCTTCCGGATCCCGACCCAAAGTTAAGTCCCTACTGTACGTCTTGAGCTGAAGTCCGGTTCAAGCCCCTGAAGATTTGTAGCCCCGAAGCCTCCAAAAGGTACCATCCCTGTGTGGATGCCGTGATGCCCTTCTTCGTGACGGCCTTTATTGTGATAGTACCTGGTGGTGGCCTCTACTTCCTGCAGACGCCCGGCCAAGCAATCCATCTCCTAGAACCCACAAAGTCCAACAGCCCTTGCTTTACTTCCCCAGGGATCTAAGGACTCATATGTATTAAGGCTTTTGGGCCCAAAGACCATACTATGTAAGGCTTTTGGGCTATTTTGATCCCTAGGGCTTGAGGGTTAGACCCTGATGAAGGAGTCTTTTGGGTCAGGGTCGATCCGAAAGTCTCGAGTATGTTGTGGGCCGCCGGGACTTGTAGACTCTGCAGTCTTCAGGGTTTTGGGCTTAGTCTTTGAGTTCTCCGCCACAATGAAAGCTTGGAGAATTCATATGGGAGTTTCCGAAAATAGGGGACCCTAATATAGGACCCCAAATAGTAGGATCCTTGTTATAAGGACCCCAAAATAAGGTACCCTAATTTTCGGAAACTCCCATATGTCGTTTCACAACAAGGAGCATCCCTCAACGAAAGATCCGAGCCCCTATAAACCCTAAACCCTAGACCCTGCAGTAAAATGGGGATCCCGAAGGAGAGCCCGAAGTCCCCGGTCTTTAGTTTGTGACGTCGCGAAGTCTCCGAGTTGCTATGAAGGTGCCTTGAGCCGGGTTTTGGGCCCAAGCATCGCTATATATATATATATATATATATATATATATATATATATACATATATATATATATATATATACATATATAACAGTATATATATACACATAACAGTGTATATATATATATGTAAAACATACAGCGAAATCTTATTCCAATTATTCAGGATCCTATAGCAGCGACTCCTGAGCCCGAAAGCCCAGCCCGAAAGCCTAAGCCCTAAAAACTGCACTAAGACCTGAGCTTCTAAGCTTTAGGGCAGGGTCTAGGGTTTAGGGTTTAGGGTTTAAGGTTTAAGGTTTAGGGTTTAGGGTTTAGGGCTTAGGGTTTTAGGGTTTAGGGTTTGGGGTTAAGGGTCCAGGGCGCAGGGGCTTGATAATTAACGATACTCATAGTGTTCTGAGGGTTCTCAACTCTAATTATAGTACAATGGGCCCCAAGACCCTATTCCACTTATTAAAAGGGCCCCTATATTGAGGGTGGTACATCCCAAACTCCCTAAACCCTCAACCCTTAATCCTAACTACCAACCCCGAAGCCGGGAGAACCCTCAACCCCAAAGCCTAAAAGCACAGGGCGAGCCTGCTTACCGTGGATGAGATGCTAGCAGCGGTGATCTGGGCCACGGTCCAGGGCAGAGACATCAGGATTTAGGGTTTAGGATTTGGGAGTTTCCGAAAATTAGGGGTACCTTCTTTTGGGGTCCTTTTGGGGTCCTTGTAATGGGGACCCTACTATTCAGGTTACTTTTGTAGGGTCCCCCCTGTTTTCGGAAACTCCCATTTAGATGCTCTCCTTTAGGATTTGGGATTTAGGGTTTAGAGGTTCAGGCTCTTATCCAAGCCTTGAGGGTTTAGGATTTAGGGTTAAGGATTTAGGGTTTAGGATTTAGGGTTTACGATTTAGACGGATCGAGGGTCCAGGGTTTTGGGTATGCGGTTCTGGTTTTGGGTTGCGGACGTACGGGTTGCCCAAGACAGAAGCCAAAGACTGTCCACACTACTGTGCGACGGCCGCAACGCTGCTCCACACAACTGTGCAGCTTAGAGTATACACCTTAACAGTCCCAAAGCCTAGATGCTTCAATTCACGAGGTACGGCTCTTGCCTGCATGTTTTGTTTGCCTCGACTACGGTTCTTAAAGATGGTTTTTGCTTAAGCCCCAAACCCCAAACCCTAGGGTTCAAGGCATAAAAGCACCCCCTTGACCCTGGAAGGTCACATCTGCGCTTGCCATCCTTGCCTGGCGAGCGTGTTGGAGGGAGCCCATGCTCCGCTTCAGCGATGGCTGAGCGGTTCAGGATTCGAAGGCTTAGGGCCTTAAGGTTTTGGTTTTGGGATTTGGTGTTTAGGGTTTAGGCTTCCGGCTTTGAGTTTCTTCTAGGATGCAGGCTTCAGCCAAGGGGCGAAGCTTTTGCATGGGGTGTGAGGTATGGTTTTCAAGGATTCTTGGTGTGGAGGGTCCGATCATCGCGGTTGTGTCGCCTATGGCGTTCAGCTGCCTGCGCTGCGCCAGCACCCAAAAAGTCTCACATCATTGCCGACTGAGTGGCCCCACACCACAACCTTACTCTAATTCTTAAGGCCCCTACTATAGCCTATAGACCCATTTAAAGGGCCTCTTAATATTAGAAGCCTCCTAGATGAACCCCTAAACCCTAAGCCCGAAACCCCAAAGCCTAAACCCTAAAGGCCTTAAACCCTAAACCCGAAAACCTAAACCCGAAACCCTAAACCCTAAACCTTAAAGGCCCGATACCGAAAACCGCAAAGAACCCGCGGCCTGGGGCCCTCCGCGCCCGAGGCCCCGAGAGCCTTCTCAGCCGGCTCGGGCGGCGGCTTCGTCGACTCTTTGGTCAGGTCTCGGGCTTTTGGGGACTTTAAAGTAGAGAGAGAGAGAGAGAGTGTGTATATATATATATATATATATAGAGATATGTATATGTTACGTAAGTAAATAAATATACGTGTATTGTCATATATATATATATGCATATGTATATATATATATATACACACACTATATACCGATGTCTGTATCTATGCATGTAATGTAATGTAGTGTACTGTAGTGCAATGTACTGTAATGAAATGAAATGTAATGTAAATGTATGCAGGTATGCAGGTATTCACGCAGGTATGCGGGGTATTCATGCAGGTACGCGGATATGCATGCATGCATCATGACAGCATTATCGGCATTATCGGTATGGATAGACAAATCGATAGACAAATGGGTACAGTAGAAAAGTAGGTAGGTAGATGAGTAGATAGATAGGTAGATAGATAGATACATAGATAGGTAGACAGGTAGATAGTTAGATGGGTAGATAGGTAGATAGGAAGACAGGTAGAGGGCAGATGGGTGTAGACGTGTAGCTACGGGTTGATAGCTATAGAAAGACAGGTAGGTAGGCAGACACACAAAACACACATACATACGGTTGATGATATAAATCCTGCATTACACACAATGAGGAATATACCATAGTTTCCAGAGTTTAGGGTCATTAAGGTAATGTAGGACTTATATCATCAACCGTATGGAGGATTTAAGTACAAGGGATGCTGTAGCTGAATATTCCACATCATTGGGCTCTCGGCCCATGAAGCTAAACAGCGAAGGCGAAACCCATAGGATCCCTTTAAAACCCTGCCCCGTGGGCCCCGTTTTCGGTTGTTCTAAGCCCCTAAACCCTAAACCCCAAACCCCTCAGAGACTCCAATATCCCTGAATTAAGGAATATTCCTTAAATCATATTAGGGATCCTATTATAATTATGGTATATTCCTTAATTAAGGGATATTGGAGTCTCTGGGCCAACCCCGGAAGGTCCAGGAAGAAGCTGCGGGTGTTGCGGAGGTCCACGACAAGGAGGCAGAACCGCCGCTGAAGGCGGGATCGGGGTTTCGGGTTTAGCGGTTTCGGGTTGAGGGTTTCGGGGCCCTCTAGAGAAATCTGCAGAGTTTCGCAGGACATGCTATTTCTTTGGGGATGGGGCTCCTGTAGGGTGGCTTTACAGCTTCATTGTTGCAACTTCTCCCGCTTGTCGATCAGGACTCCTTTCAGGTCACGTAGGGTTTCTATTTGGGTAGTTGTCAAAATTATGGTCCCTTTTTGGGTACCCTAAATATTAGGCGCTGTATGATATTAAGGATCCAAAACAGGGCCATAATCGTGACAACCACTCATTTCTGGTGTGTGTGTGTGTGTGTTCTCTCTTGGAGTTTGCCGGCGAGCTTGGAGTCGACAACCAGGATTCACATCAGAAGCGAGTAGGGCGTAGGGTTTAGGATTTAGGGCCCACACTTCGTCGAGCGAATGTGGGGATTACCGGGCGGTGGTAAAGGCCCGATGCAAAGGGCCTACAGTTCGGGGTTTAGTCCCCGAGAGAGCAAAACCCTTTAATCAATGAGCATGAAGGATGTGTATCGTCACTCCCTCAGCCCAGCATGCGAAATCCTAAATCCCCACCCCGAAGCAAAAATGGCCCGCAAGCTTACAAACCCTTGACCCTGATCAGGAACCTCCATTGCTTACTTGTGGGCTCTCTAGGTATCTCTGAGTGTAGTTCCTAAACCCAAAACCTTAACCCCCTAAACCCTAAACCCTCAAACCTAAACCTCTTGTCAGCTGCTTTCCGGAGCGAGGCACCCGAGCCCGCACCGCTGCCGCGCCGGAAGAAAGCGCCCAAGGGCGATGTGCTCAAGGCAGATGTCGGCTAGAAGAAAGGGTTTAGGTGTGGGGGGTTTAGTGATTCCTGGAGGTTCAAGGGTTTATGGGTTTCGCGGGGGGTCCATGTCCCAGAGCCAATGGCGGGCATAGCAGGCACGGGTTGCCCGGCGCAGCTGGGGCGCGGCATGTGTGCGCAACTTGCAAGTTATCTCATGCGGTACCTGGCGTTCCGCGGAGGTTGAAGGGCCTACAGCACCAGCCATTAATTCGCAAGTTGCTTGCCTCCTGGATGGAAGTATTATCCGGAGTAATTAGTTACTGGGAGTCTCAGCAAACTTAATTACTAGTCAGAAATACTACGATTATCCAAGTTCTTAACGGCCGGTACGACCTAGCGTCCTTATCACTGTGTCTGATTATGCTTACTATTTTCATGGATGCCTTCAACCCACAGTACGACAAACGCGCAGCCACATCTGGGTGTCAATATTTAGAGTAGGGTTTTGGGATATGAAATATACTATAACTACAACAAGGCACCCCGCAATATCATTGGTAATTCTTTAACTAGGCCACCTGAGGCCCCTATGGTACAAACCCCATGCCTCAGAGGCCTTAAACCCCCAACCTTAAGTCCAAGAAGACTGTCAAAGGGCTCCACGGGTTGGATGAAGGTAGGTGGGGTAATCCCAAAATAGGAGTTCTAAAATACAGCATCCTGATTCCCACCTACCTGCGTCCCACCTTTCCTCAGGCCGGGAGCAACCCATCGTAAGCCCAAGCCCCAGATGCAGACGACCCAGCCCCGAGGCAAGAAACTAACTTTAACATGGCGGCCTTGATGATTGGACTCGGGCTTTGGGCTCCTTAATGGAATAACTTTAATTAAGGAACCGTAAGGCCTAAGGAATACGATTGGTGAATGTTGGGGCTTCTACATAAATATCGGGGCCGAGGAGTGGAGCACAAGGGCTTAGGCTTAGCGGCTTCCGGGCGTCCTGTGCTCCCGGCAGAGGTTGAGTGGGTTAGGGTTTTGGGGTTTAGGGTTTCAGGGGTTTGGGTTTTAGGGTTAGGACTTAAGGTTCCGCATTTTTGCGTCAGGAATTCCACTGGTTTGCCAACGCTCATGCAGCTTAATGAATGGGGGATGGGCGGGCTAGTTAATCTTATGTAAAACCCTAAAAACCAAAACCCTACACCCCGAACCTTAAGCCCTTGACCCTACGCCGTGTACATGAGTTCAGGAGCTGGCGAAGATTGAGAAAAACCTTCGGAGCCGCTGGAATCGAGAGCAGGGCCTGCACAAGGCACTCGCCAGCATTTTTTTTCCTTGCTTGTGAAGGGTTTAGGGTTTTTGGGGTTTTGGGCTTTATGTTTGTACGGTCTTCAGGGTTTAGATGCGAACCGGTATGTATTTTGCAGAGTTTGGACTTTGTGTTCTTTCCCCATCTAAGTTTGCATGCGGAGTGCTAAACGAGTTTGGTATATGTCGCCCTTGACCAACGATGTCAATGCTTGCTGGTCTGGGTAGTCGCCTCTTGTCTCTGAAATACCCTGAACGTGTCTCTGTGTGTGCGCTCGCGCGGCGCATGGGCGCGTGTGGGTGTACATGTGAGTACCTCTGGGACCAGACATCGAATCCCGTCGGCGCAAGTGGACATTACGATGTCGCAATCGGGGCCTGGCAAACTGAACCTTCGTGGAAAGCTTCCAAGGAGCATGCGTCTTCATGGCTGTCTAGTCATGGGCGGAGGGGAATCGTTGCATGGATCCCTAAACCCTAAACCTTAAACCCTAAGTGGTCACTGATCTTGTTGTCGTCGTGTTCTGTCCAGATGTTGCTGCTCATGAGACAAGGTGTTGATACTTTGTATATCGAGCATCCCATCTCTGACCACCCACCATACGGGGGTTTCCGAAAATAGTACCCAACATAGTAGGATCCACTTTACAAGGACCCCCAAACAAGGTACCCCTAATTTTCGGAAACTCCGATATAATTTGGCTCGCTGACCCACCGGTAAACCCAAACCTTACACTCCCTTGGTTGCTTGTTGAAGTTTTTTTTTGGCTTTGGTGCGTTTATGGCCATCTGTGAACTTGGTGATCTTTTCGGGGCTGCAGGGTGTAGGGTTTAGATTGTATTCTCAGAATTCTCAGGCGTTCTGAGGAGTTTGGTGGCTGTCAGGCGGTAGGTGGTAGAGGAACGGCAGCATGCGGTTCAACAAATTCCGTGTGTGTTTATTTTCGTTTTGTCAGAGTCCAGAAGCTTTGGAACTTTTTGGCTGCCTAAACCCTCAACCCTAAACGCTAAAACCTAAACCCTAGAATCGCATTGCAAAGCCCTAAAGCCGGGTGAGGGGTCTGTCGCGGATTTATCCTGTCTAGTAGGGTTCAAGGGTTGGGGTTTTGGGAGCTTACAGCTCGGAGTTTGAAGTGCAGAGTTTAAGGCGTTTAAGGTTTGGGGTTACGGGGTAGGGCGGGTAAGGCTTAGGGTTCAGGGTTTTAAGGTTGGCGAGGTGTACAGCAGAATCCAGAAAGTTGGAACCTCATTATCCTCATACCTTTAAGGTAAAGCATAGGGAATCCCCGCACTCATCATCCTTAATCCATGTT